AAAACAGTTCAATATCAGAGTTTCCCATAACCATAAACAAAACAGGAGGAGCTGTACGATCATGCTTTCGCCTTGCCGTGATCCCCATATGTACTTGAAACAATAAACTGAAACTGTAAGCCCGAAAGCTTAGTGAGTTCCTCTAAAATACCAATACACATACAGTCCACATAACACAGTCAGCAATATCATAACATAATAAACTAAACAGCATGCAACGGGTGCACAACTTTACAGACTGGATTACCCACTGGGCCCATAGTGTGAGTTTGGATTGCCTTGCGGGCCCACAACTCACATTTGGCTTGCCAACGAGCCCATAATACGAGTCTCCCTTAGCCCGTAACTAGAATGCTCCCGAATTTGTTGGTTACCGCATGAAGCAATCCTACCTCAACCCATCCCACATAACATATCAACATATAGCATAATCACTGAGCATGCCGATAATCATATAACAACACAGGTAGTCCTACAGATCTACCTAACTGGCATAACCACTAGCATGCAAAACTAACTTCATACTCAACATACTAACACTGCTAGAGTAACATATCCAATGGGTCGGCCTTGGTGCCTTAGACCCCTTAGTATAGTGAGGTAACTCACCTTGCAACTGTCGACTCGAACAATAAGCCCAAATTCTTGGATCACTGCTACGAACTCCACCACCTATATTAATTGTAAACCATACTTGTAAATTTCCAGCCTTTCCAATATGTCCTCTAGAAGTCAACCGGTCAATCCATGGTCAAAGTCAACATTCAAGGTCAACAGTCCATGTTGACCTCAACTTGTCGAGTACCCTCATCTACTCGCTGAGTTCCTCAAATATTCATTCGCTCTCCAAGTCACCAGAGTGACTCGTCGAGTTCCTAAGGTTCGTGGTTGAAGCTCCATGGCCACTCGTCGAGTTTTCCCCGTTGCAACTCGACAAGTTCATACGTATCTAACGGTTGAGAAAAACCTAACTAACTCGCTGAGTCACTATACTGACTCGCTGAGTTTTCGACAATCTTCATCGGAATCGCAGAGTTCAGGACCATCTTCATATGACTCGTCGAGTCGCCTATGTGACTCACCGAGCGCCTTCAATTCTTCATCCATACAAACGCATTTTAAGCCATGCAAAGGTTCCAGATTGCAGATCCAACCTTCTTATGCATGCTTATCACGCAATGTTGCAAACTTTGCGTGCATGCATGGCTTTAAGGCCCTTAAATGACAAAACTAAGCTTGTATTGAAGTCTTACACTTGAAGGAAGGCTCATACTAGGAAAGGCTAATAACTTTATCAATGTAGAGGTCAAAGGGAGTCCAGATCTGAAGTTACAACTTTAGATCTTAGCTCAAACATAAAAACCCTTTCATAAAACCCATCCAAAAGAGATTTTTGATGAACATGAGCCAAGGGAAACAGTTTAATACCTTCAAAAGAATGCCCACTGATGTAGATCTTGAATCCCACGAGTTCTTGCTTCTACTTGCTTGATTTCCCCAAGTGTCTCCTCCTCCAAAACTCCCCTTCCAAGCTTGAACACACCAAATGAACACACATACTCGATTTAGGGTTTGAGAGGGACAAGAAGCAGTAAATGGGAGGCTGGGGGAGGCCAATGATCCTTTAAATAGGGTGAAATTCCCCGAAATATAGGGTTTCATCTGCCAGCTCCTACTCGTCGAGTCCGCTCTTGGACTCGGTGAGTAGATCACTAAAACACGCGGACTAACCTGCTACTACTCAACGAGTAGGGCAGCCAACTCGTCGAGTAGACCCAAAAACCCAAAAAGATTCATACATACATCAATACCCGAGAATCGGGGCGTTACATACATGGGTATATATTGTAATGCATAGTATAGTGAAATAAATCACCTGATTGAGGTGGGAGATATTTGGAAAGCTAGCTCCTGGGCTAATGCTTTAGCTTATCCATCTTAAACATCCGAAGTATGAATATTACCGTGCTTCAATATTTGCTTATATTTATATTATTTACCAGATTCCTCAACAATCCTTATGAATACATCAAGATCTATCAAATAAGGAACAACCAAGATCACATCGGAGTAAAGTCTGTTCAGTATACAATATATACGTTTTGGAAAACCCACTTTAAACACCTCCCTAAATATAGCCTAGACACATTCCCACAAGTAGATCAATTAGTATTATGACTATAATCACTGATAAATCTTATTTATATGTATTCATAATGATGAATATGAATATAAATATAAGTTACACTTAAAACTTAGTAAGTGAAACTTAACTTACAAATTTTTTTGGCGAAAATCCTAAAAATCGCTGGCAAAACTCTGAACCAAAAGATTCTATTTGTTGGACTATCTGATGACTCGGAGTCTCGCTAAAATGCTCACAAAACTCATAAATTATTGGGCTCGAGGCCAGAGAAGGAATTCTAGAGGATTTGGGAGAGCTAGGAATGAAATGGTTGGTGAAATGAGTTGAAATTCGATCCTATATATAACATATAGTAAAATAGAGAGACGCACCACACCATAAGCCAGGGGCAGGCCGTGCCCAAGGCTTGTGTGTCTGGTTTTGGTTGGTGCCACATATCACGTATCCGTCCGTCTGCGTTGCCTTGTTTCTCGTCGCTCCCGCCATGTCATGTGTCAGCTATTAGATGGATCACATGTCGCAAAAGTCCTTATATGAAGTTAGATTTAGACGTTCTTTACATGCATGCTTTCGCTTTTACAATTACTATGAATTTTGTTTAGATTATTTAGGCTAATAATCAACATATCTCCAATTCACTTTTTACGACACACGTTGTCATATAGGGTTGGACGTGAAACTTCGAAGAATCGTCACTTCTTCATACGAAGTCAGATTTAAACATTCTTCATATTTACGGAAATTATATTGACGTCTACTACATGTTTATGATAATTATTATGGCTAAAAGTTAATATATTTCTACTTCGTTTATAAACAAACAATTATATTAAATTTTACTATACAATGAAAATGAGGTGTTACATTAGTTAAGCATTTATGCGTTTAATTATAATATTTTGGTTTTGATCATTGAGAAGTGCTACTCAAGGTACACCCACTTGGTGTTGTTATTTGATAGTAAAGTTTATATGGATATTGTCAATAATAGGAATGTACTTTGTTAAAAGTTATATTTTACCCCAAATTGAATATTAATCTTTTATTGCCTTGAGAAGGTATGGGCTTGTAAATTGGCGTGTGAGTTGAGTGTTCACCATACACTCTCGGTATAATGTAAAACCTTAGGATTGTACTCACCAGGCTCCTCATAGCCCAACCAACTTGTTGATATCTAATTAAAAAAAAATAGTTAAAAATATAAAATAAACTAGAAAATGTAAAAAAGTTAATATATTTTCCAATTAAAAGAATATTAAATATAAAATATATCATTTAACAAGTGGAACTTCCAATAAATTAAAACTACAAAAACCATCTATATAAAACAGTATATAAAACAGTAGTTAAAAATTTAACGTATGAAATTAAGTAATCTAACAATATATTTTTTTTTTCTAAAAAAATCATTTTTTTCTAATGCTTGAAAAATAATCGTCATCTCACAAATATTTCATTCCAGACTGTTTATGTTTTGGAGTTTTTTTCAAAGAAATATCTTTATTTATATACGAAATATATATTTTGAGGTGTCTATATTACTGTCAAATGTTTCATTCCTAATTTGATCTTAATGCTTTTCAATTTATTTTTGAGAAAATGACAAAAATAACCATTTACACTAATTACATTACAAAAATAGCCAACAAAAACCGAAATTACAAAAATAACCATGAATTTCGCAGATGGAATAGTTCCATCTGCGAAATGGGCTTTCCATCTGCGAATGTACAAGCAGTTAAAGCACAATTGTGCTTTAGCTGCTTGTACATTCGCAGGTGGTGTATTTTTATTTTTTTTTCTCTATATATATTGAAATTGTAGGGTAAAATCGCAGATGGAATAGCCCATCTACGATTTACTCTGATTCCATCTGTAAAATTGCGGTTATTTTTTTATTTTTTATTTTTTTTTTTAGTTTGACTATGAAATCAATTGGTTTGTAGCTCGATTATATTTAAATGTACATCACCAACATCAACATAATGCCCGTAAACATGTTTTTTTTTTTTCATTTTTTTGACTTGAATTTTTTTCTTTTTAGTTTTATCTACCATATGCATATTCGTAACTTTAACTTCTTGTTCAGCAACATTATTTCGTAGTCAAACCAATTGATTTCATAGTCAAACTAAAAAAAAATTAAAAAAATTAAAAAATAACCGCAATTTCGCAGATGGAATCAGAGTAAATCGCAGATGGGGCTATTCCATCTGCGATTTTACCCTATAATTTCAATATATATAGAAAAAAAAATAAACCACCTGCGAATGTACAAGCAGCTAAAGTACAGTTGTGCTTTAGCTGCTTGTACATTCGCAGATGGAACTATTCCATCTACGAAATTCATGGTTATTTTTGCAACTTCGTTTTTTTTACTATTTTTGTAATGTAATTAGTGTAAATGGCTATTTTTGTCATTCTATTTTTATTTTTTAAAGAAATATCTTTATTTATGTTGAAATATCTATTTCAAAGTATTTAATGACAATGTTTTCAATAAAATATATGATGTTATGCATTTATATGGTATTTGGTTCATACTTTGTTTATTTTTTTGATAGTTTAAATAAAAAAAAGATTTTTTTCTTGAAATTCCGAAATTATTTATTAGATTTCAAGAAATTCGAGATTTTTTTTTTTCCTGAAATCCTATTGCGAACTATCGGACCGAAATACATTTATTTTATCAGGAAAAAAATATTTTTTGTTGATGGAAAATATAACTCCGAACCGATAAACAAACTTCCATAATCCGTAGACAAGCGAGTTAGGAAGCGGTTTTGAGTGGCAAATCGGTAAATTTAGTAAAATGAAAGCGAAACGAAAGGCAAACGGCACGTACGAAACAAAGCGTTCAACCAAATTCACAAACCTATTTACCGATACCAATGCAGCTACCCGCGCCAATCTCCTCCTCCTCCCCCTCCTCCCGTTTCTCGATCGCCGGAGAATGAAATAAAAGAAATTCAGCTCTTGTTGCTCTTCGCAATTGCTTTTCTCTTTCACGTTTTGAATAAGGTCGTACAATTTGATACCGATGGCATGGTTAAGATCGGCGATGAACAAGGCTGCGGAAGTACGCGGCAGGTCCACTTTCAGAGACGTGGTTCGCTCTCACACCGGTTACATCAGCCTCCCTGGCAATGCAGACTCCAAGGACGACAAGAAGTTGGTAGACCGCGTTAACCTATCTCATCCTTTTCTTCCTTCTCACATATACACGTGCATGTTATCGATAGATATTGCCTCTCTCTTTCTTAAATATACCCCCTTCAATCCAAAAGTTTAGGTGCAAGTTACTCCTCATGGCTATTCATATACTTTCTATAATCATCAGATATCTCAAATTTAGGAGCACGCATCTTGAATATTGTAATTGAAAAAAATTGTAGAAAATTTTACGAAAATTCTTATGAACTTGCCCTTTAAATTAGTAAAAACTGGTGATAATGAGAGAAAAGTGTTACGTAGTGCAGAATTTTGTTAAGATCCTGTGAAACTAATGACAGATGCCAAACTTAATAATGTTTTTAGTAACGTTAAAAGGTTATTCATACCGATTATTTTGGGAAGGAAGGACTATCTTAGGCACATATAAGCATTATTGAATCCTTGTTCTCATATATGCTATAGCTTTTGAAGTCCTATTGTGCTACAAAATTGCAGAAAGCTCGGAACATGAATAGCTACAAGGAGGCAATTAGAAGGCTTGAAGAGGCTTCTGTTTCTTCTAAAGGGGAAGAAAGAGTTCAACTGCTAAGAAGATGGTTAGCTTCTCTAAGAGAAATTGAAAGACAAAATGCAGTTTCAACTGAGAATGATGAGAAAAATTCCAAGGAAATTTGTACACCAAATGATAAGAATCACTCTCCTGGAAATCCAGATGTTGTAAGTGAGAAAATATTGCCCTATTTTATTGTTCTGCCATTTTCATGTTGCTCCAATTGCTAAGTGTGCACCGGTTAAATATTTGCGATTTATATATAGGCTTTAGATTCTTACTACTGCATTTAATTGGATTTTCTCAGTTGCTTTATGTGAGTTTTTTAGCAGTGCATCATGTAATCTGAGTGCTTATTTATCCATCACTTATTTTCTTGATTGACAGGAGCTATACTATGACCCAGATCTTGGTGTATCACCAGTGAATTTCCGTGATGTTTTGCTCCACAGTGAGGCTCTTGAAGGCATAACAATGTCTATGGTAAGTGTTCATCAGAAAAGTCTTCTCTAGTATTAGTACTTGATATTCGTTTATGAATAGTAAGGCACCTAAGTCATCTCCTCATCATTTAATGTGAATTTTAATCTTTTTGTATGTCTGTAGTTCAGACTTTGAGTACTATATGAGTTGATTATTTTTGCTGATTCATGGAGTTTAACCGCAGGTTCACTCTTTTGTCTGACTCAGATTGTTGGAGCACCAAACAAGGAAGAAATCTTGCTACTACATGAGCTATTTGGGTGATATTTCTTACTTCTATGATTCATTTGTTTTGACCCTTTATGACTGTTCAATAAATGCTTATTCAGAAGGATTTTCTAATATACAAGTTCTTCTGAAACATGATGTGGTCTGTAAATCAATCAAACCTTTAGCTGTTATCTTTACCCCTCTTCTGGATGTAGGCTGTGTCTTACAGGAGGGGAGGAAGTCCATGATGTAATTGTGAACAGGATCCTAGACTTGTCAAAAGCTTTCTCAGTTTATGATGATGAAGTGCTGGTAATGTTGTTATTTATTCACTTCATATATGTTGCTGTGTACAGTATATGAGCAACAATGTTTATACCCCAAGACTTTCTTGTCTCAGGCAAAGAGGAAAGAATTGCTTCAATTTGCTCAAGATGCAATTGCTGGGCTGAAATTAAATGTTGACATATTGAGGTTGGTAAGGAATTAGTTTCATGTTTCTTGCATGTATTTGGTTTCAAACTCCATCACATACCTTTAGGAACAAGCTTTAGTGCATACATTATACTCTGGGAATCTTTAGTGCATAATTAAAGGGATAAAGTCATAGAATAGCAACATGCTTTTTCATATGTCCCACCTAGGTCACTGCATTTTTTTTCCTTACTTACCAAGTCATTGTACTTAAGTTGAAGTATAAAGTTTAAATATTATTATTATTTTTTTAATATATTACGAACTATAATATACCATCATCAATAAAGTGTTTGTGCTAAAGGCTTTGAAAAGTTACTCTTTTGCATCAGAAGTGAAAATGTATATAGCTAGAGGAATTTTATCCATTTTTAATGAAATATTTTTGTACAAATTCCTATGATGCTTTTTGTTATAACTGCTTCTGATTACTGCTAACTGCATAATTTGATGATGCACCCCCCAGAATAGATTCTGAAGTCTCAGAAATACATCGAAACTTGAAAAAGTTTGAACATCATGAATTTTCAATTGAGAGTGATCCAACTTCTTTGGATGCAACAAACGATGTAACACTGGAGGTATTTGGAATCTTAGATTTTAGTCTTTAACAATTTCTATAGGGGTCCAATGGGTCAAACTTTTCACAGAATCTAATAAACACTGCAAGATTGGTCAAAGTCAATACAGCTTTTAAGAATATCAAGCTGCTCTTACATTCAATTTTGTTGAAGTCATGACATTTTTTTTGTTGCAGGTTATAAAAAAATCTGTTTCCCCCATTCGACTTTGCTGTAGGCTGGAGTCGCTTCTACTTAAAAAGAAATTGTTGAACAGTGGGGATACACCAAATGATCATGCTTGTAAAGTAAGCTTTTCCATAACTTCCATTTTGTAGTTTGCACCATATGTATAAATTTGAGGTAATGGTTTCACAAGAAGTACATAGAATTTATTTCTGGTTATAAAATCACATGGTATTAGAGCCTTGATATATCCATCAAGACATACAATGAGCTTTTGTTATCAGTTACTGTAGGGATGGTATTTAGTGTAACCTGGATATTTATACTACTCTCTACAACATTAAATAATCAAGTTATTTTTTTTGTTTAATGATTATTATGCAGATTGATAAACTAAAAGTTCTTTCCGAATCTCTTCTAAGCTCAGCATCTAATTCTGAAAAGCGCGTATCTGATCATCGGTAATTTGTTATCTCACTTCTTTTCTCTTTGTATTTATTTATTTGTACAGTCACTTGTGAAATTTCATCAACTTATAATTTTTTTTTTTGTTTTTTTTATGTTTTTTTTTTATGTTTTTCTCACCTATAAATACCCTAGATTCGGTTGCATTGTGCAGCAAACTCAAGTTACTTACAGTAGTGTGTTGTCTGAAAATGATACAGAAAAACTTTTCTTTTTATTTTTAACAATGTTAAATTCCTTTAAACCTTATAATATATCTACTAATCTACCTCTATTTTGTTATCAGGCAACAAAAAGAAGAAGCCCTTTATTTCCGTGTAGCCAAAACTAGTGAAGTCACCCAAATTGAGAAGGTATGACCTTTCAAATCCTCCTATTTTGATTTATGAACCACTTCAAGAAGACTGAAAATGTCATTGCAATTTCCAGGAGTTGGGAGCTGAAATTAATGAACTTGAGAAGCAAAGAGACAAACTTGAAACTGAATTAAAGAAGGTGCCTTCAGCCTTCTTATTAATGAGCATCATATATATATATATATATATATATATATATATATATATATATATATATATATATATATATATGTCAGTGTGATTGTCTGAAAAGTAACTCCCTGTTTTAGGTCAAAAACTTGTTGGCTGTTGCAAATGGTCGTCTTCAAAATGCTACAGAAGAAAGGGAACAGTTTGATGATGCCAATAATCAGCTTCTTGTACACTTCAAGTCAAAGGTTGGAATGTCTTGGTCCCAATACAATTTAAGGTTTAAAAAACTTAGGATAATTATTTATGACATTTTGCAATTCCATGTTATAAACCCTAATCTGAATTTTTCATGATCATGGCATAGGAGGATGAACTCTCGAAAGCAATTATTTCGTATAGAGTAGAAGCAGATACTTGTAATGCATTTGTTGAGTTTCTAGAAGCTGCTTGGGATTTCCAGTATTCTTTTATGGAGGAAAAGGAAAAGAAGGTCAAGTATGTAATTTCTAATTATGTCCATATTCAAGTGTATATATAAACTCTGTTACTGAGAAATACTCTGTTTTATTCGACATACTCAAGTGATGAATTGGAGACTCATGAAGAATACTTTATAAATGTGGCTAGGAGTCTTTTATCTGCTTACAAGGTAATTGACCTAAACTTGTTAAAATCCATTTTAACTTTACCATTTAATCTATAATCTCATTGCATCTTTACTTGTTTTGTATATTTTTGATCTTATAAGGATGCACTGGGACCCGCTATCGCCATTTTGAGGGAACATGCTAAGAACTTGAAAAGGTAACAATTTCTTTTTCTTTGAAAGTTAATTTATGTGGATAGAAAAGAAAAGTGCTTTTTTTTTTTTTTTTTTTTTATCAAAAATATTAAATTTGGGCTTACGGTTTTGGTAATGTGGTAGGTATGAGAAAGCAATCGACCCAGATGAAGAATTTTTACAAGATATCGAACAAAGAAAAAGCCTTGAACATGCATATCTAGCTGCAGAAACCAAGGTATATTTTAATCTTACACATTCTGATTATTTATTGGCCTAAAAAGTAAAAAACACTGAGTCACTTTGTTTTTACTATTTTCATTTGGTGCAGGTTATTACTATCTTCGGTGCAGCAGATAGTGTTAAAGAGCAGTTTTACCAAGCAATTGATAATGTTTTTAGGTAAGATGAATTCATTTAAGTTTTTCTTTCCCCAATGATATAACAAATGTGTTGGTTGATGTTGAGCAGGAAAGTTATTGAACCAGTTCATGATTTATGTGAAGCTATTGAAAACATCAAAATTGAGTTCGAATCTTTAGCAAGACCATATGTGAGTAAAGATAAGTCAAGTCATGTAGAACAAACAGTGTCAAAGGAAAGCCCAAAAAAAGGCGTATCACCATCTTCCAAACGTGTGCTTACAGTAGATATAAAATCAATCCTTACACAAAAACTGGTTATACGATCTCCAAAAAAGAAAGCATATATACCCTTAGGTGGCAGTTCAGAAAACTCCCCATCAAATCCAAATGTTGATCAAGAGGGGGATGAGGAGGATCACAAGTCATCAACCCCAAATAAAGAACCATCAAAATCGGTCGAGGAAATTGATAAAGAAAATACGGAAGAAACCAATATGTCACAACATCCTTGTACTAGTGAAAATGAGAAGCTTCTAGAACCTTGTAAAGAATCAGAGAACTTGGCCTTGGAACTTTCTACAAGTAATGACGAAAAGTTAGTTGACCCTAATAAAGAGAAATCAAAAACCAAAGAACGTAAGAAGAAAAAGTCTCAAAGTTCCTCAAGTGAGAGCGACAAGTCATCATCAGAATAGGCCACTTATGATATGCATTCCACATCTTTGTTTCGTTTAGATTCCACACAGGAGTAACCTGAATGTGAATTTTATGCAAACAGGTAAGTAAAGGGGGGATGATTTTCACACTAAATACAGAAGCCAAAGCTTGTAAGTTGTAAATCAATCATGTAGAAATCGTACATTTCATATATTCATATATTTATAGCTGATTAGATTTATAGTTAGCGAATTTATGTTTACATTTTTTTTCTGAAACATAGTCAGCCAGTTAACAATAACATCATGTTATAAGTTGGATCTGAGTCTCTGAATTAGATTATGCAGATTTGGTAAATGGGTAGTTGATTTAGTTACTACCTTTTTTAGCAACAAAGATAAAATAAAAAAATTGTGATTCAGTTAAGTTATTAAAGGTTTGTCAGATGAGTCGAGTGGGGCATCTGTGAAAGTGGGCAGTGTTTGCAGCAAAAGGTATAGACATGAGGGTATGGACTCAAGGTCAGACCCAATAGCCCTTATTAAGTCTAGTCGCATTTCCTAATATTTCTTTACATTACATTTGAATCAATAAACGACAACCATTAATTATTATTATTATTTTTTTTTTTCAAAGAGATGGTGTGTCTTACCGAGTGAGTGATTCGGGTAACTCCGTTACAAACATTAGGGAAATCATATGAACAAAGGGATTACATATGCATATGAACAAAACAAAAAAATGCAGAAATCATGGACCATTATTTTGAAAAAGACAATGGTAGCTAGGCATTATGCATCGTTTTATGTTTTATAACATATACTATATTATGGCCTATTGACTCTTGCGCTCAACCTTATAATAATAATAACAATAATGATTATTTATTACGATAGATTCACAATGTAGAGTGGGGGCCAAATTAAAAGTATTATTAGTTAAATATTTAAAACATCATTTAATGGCGACGTAGGGGTCTTATAAACCAAAATTTGATAGATGAACAACTGTTTTTTTAAATGATTTTAGAATCTTGTGAGAATAAGTGAAAGTAAAAAAGATACTAAGCCCATGTGTTGACCAAGTGCGGAGACCCATGAAGTGTTTTATCCATCTCTCCATTGTGTATAGAAATATATGACAATGCTAAAAACCAAGGTGTATGGGAAAATGGGGCATTGCCTTTTAAAATTCAACATCTTATTAAATGCTACGTACAAATTCCCAACACATTACCACACACCTCTCTCTCAATTCAAATTTAATACTAATTACCAACAAGGGTTGTACGTATGCATAAGAAACTTGTACGCTGGGTCTAAACAAGAAGGGATGATATTATTTTCATTTTCGTACATTGATATATGATTTCAAGCCTTTACAAGTGTCCCTCTCTTTGGTGACTAAATTATGTATTTTCATTCTTGGTTATGAAGGTAACGAATCATCATAACATTAACACCACACCAATAACCATTCTCATAATGATTTTATATCTTTTGTCCACCTTTTGTGTAGTTAATGTACAACAAGATTACCACGTCGTACAACCTTTTCAATGCGTGGTCAATGCAGGAAGAGGGACCATCCTTGTTTCTTACCATACTTTCTTGTTTGGAAGCATTCAAGAAAAACTTTACTTGAAAATAACAAAAAATCTGACATTTCACCATTTTATTATATCTTACTTATATAAGTTACTAACTTGTCACCTTCTCTACTTTAAATGATGCTCTTTTGAGTTTTGAGCCTCAAGTCTCAACCCTTCTAACACATTCTTTCAAAAAACCATGTCTTCAAATCTGTTACTATCAACCAATTATGAAGATGAAGAGTTCATAGACATGGAGGTAAGTTCATCGTCTTCTCCATCAAAAACCAGAGAGTTTGAATTCCAAAAAGATGGAAGATCAATGAACAATGCCTCACCAGCAGATGAACTTTTTTACAAAGGCAAACTCCTTCCGCTTCACCTCCCGCCACGTGTACAAATGGTGAAATCGCTTCTTCTTCAAAATGCTAAAGCTAAAGTTCAAGATCAAGAACAAGAAGATCAGTTCATTACGTTTTCAACTCCTCCATTAATGGTGCAATCATGCAATATATCGCCTTCTGAATCTAGTAGGGTAAGCACTGAATTAACCCCAGATGAATACTTCTTTGACTGGTCAACGGAATTAACAGGATTCATCGGTGATCATCATCATCATCATCACATTCACCCCACAAACAGAAACTACTACGCACCCCCATGGTCAAAGAAGCTAAGGTTGACTCAAAAGCTTAAAGCTTCCAGAAACTATCTCAAATCCTTGTTTAACAAATCTCCTTGTGGTTCAGATGCTAAACAACCAGTAATCCAACAAGATTCTGATAAAGATAAACATTTCTTGACCAAATATCTAAAAGTCAACAACAAGAAAACCGGGTTTGGCAAATACCCGACATTGGGAAATGTTTTAAAGGGTATCGAAGATGAAGGGAATGAAGATGGTTTTGACAGTAGTTGCAGCAATCGGAAGTCTTTTTCAGGGGCAATTAAGAGAAAATGCTCGCCGTCTTCCACGTCATCTTCTGGTTCCTCTTCTTCTTCATCATCGTCGTCTTCTTTCAATTATTCTAATGGGATTTATGAGTTGTGTAAGAGGAATAGCACTGCTGATTCAGAGCTTGAAGGTTCCATTGAAGCAGCCATTGATCACTGTAAGAAATCCCAACAGGTTTTGAATCAATCTGTGTTTTTTCCAAGTTCTGTTTTATAAAATGTACTCTGTAATAATCAATGTTGTTTTCCTTATTTTTTTTTTTTAAATTATTTTATGAAGATAATGTCATGGTGTCCCGATATTTGCTTTTGAGATATATCGAATTTTGTCCGTACAAAATCCAAATAAACCATTATTTAGTCGAATTCCACGGATATTTTATTTTCAAATCTTCCATTATCACGATTTTGTTTACACGTAAAACAAATCAAAGCTTTTATTATCTTACATTATGATATAAATGTTTAATGTGATTTAATTTTGTACTTGTTGAATATAATTCATTACTAATAGCAGTATGAAAATGTACACTACATCATAAAATTAAAATGTCCAAGAAACATAAGTTTTCAAGTTAGAATTACGAATTTCGCCTTTGTCATCCACACAGCAAAAACTGAAAACATTGGTTTGAGCTCAAAAACTCAAATGCAAACTGTTTCCCACAAAAGAAAAAAGAAAAAAGAAAAAAAGAAAAACTCGTAAAACAAAGTGAGCAGCATCAAATTGACATTATTAGATCTGTGCCTTTTTTCTGAATAGGTAACTACAGGTACAGGAGGAAAGTATAAAAAGGCATCTTTTACACAAAGCAGATAATGAATCCAATTTAAGATCACATGTATGAAATTGAAATCTGCTATAGCAAGAAAGAAAAAAAAAAAAGGGACCCACTATTTTCTGGATTTTTAAAGTTTTCAGCTTTTTAGCTTTATGTGTTAGAATAGCACCGGTCCACCTCACTTTCTATGTGGTGCTAATCATCAAAACTACTTCCCTTCGTCACCATCACATATATATTACACTTGCAGAATATTATTTTTTTTAATGAAAAAAAAAAAGATAAAAATATACCAAACTGTTAAAGTTATTTCTAAAAAAAAATCGGAATGCTAAAAATGACGAACAAAAATTACAAAAACCGTAAAAAGAAATTAATACTGTGAAATTGTTCATATTTTACAAAAAATCATGATTTTTGTCAAGAAAAACATTTGTAGTATAGATTTTTAAAGACCATTACCATAACAAAAAAAAAGTTATGCAAAACGAATTGTTAGGTTTAGAGAGATTTTTCTTAAAATTTAAGTAATATTTAGACAAAAAAAACTTTTACCACCATGTGCTTCTTTTACATCAAGAAAAGTACTTGGTCACTTTTACCATTATGTACATCTTTTAAATTAAGTACACTTATAATCAACCCTTTTTCGTTCTTTTGACCTCAACAGTGCATGAAAGTGAGGAATCTGTTATAACTTTTCACTTTTCTTTTACTTAAAATAAGCCTACCCTTTTTAAATGGGTCTCAATTCCATAGCAATGTACAACGTTCATTTCAAGATTTACAAGAAGAAGGTCATAAAGTGTTGGTTTAGGTAGGTTAAGATTATAAAAGATTTTGTATGTCAAGTTAATGATTCAGGGTATTCTTCATGATTAAAAAAGGTCAAAGTTATCTACTTGACAGATTTGAAGAATTCTTTATGCAGAGTCAGTCAACATCATTACATCAACTAACTATCCTTTACTTGTAAGTTAAAATTTAACTAAAGATTATGAGTGTAGATTTAAGCATAAAAGGACCCATGAATGTGATTTCAATCTTTAAAGTGACTATTCTTGCTTTAAGCAATGACAGCTTTTGTTAAAGCACCAAATGTTGCTTTAAGCATTTATATTTGCTTACATCACGTCTATGCATTTACACCATCCATTCAATTCAAGGGATGAATTTATCCTTCGTAACTATTTTTAAATGGAGAATGTGGATCTAAACTATTTTGGTGTATAAATTCGTACTCGCTTCAAAACTATTTTTAAATGGAGAATGTGGATTTAAATCTTATTATATTCAAATACTTGCATAAGTACAAGTTTAGTTTGGTGTTCAACCAACATTGTATAACTCAAGGTGTAAGCGGGGATGATATTTTCAAAGATCTTCATCTTCTTTAAGCTTTCTATCTCAAAAGAGTTAAAGAAATATTGGAGAAGTGATGGGTGAGTGTGAAAAACATAAACACCAAATTAAATTAGCTTCTTATAAACTCGGATGTTTAAGATTTGAAAAATACTTATTGCACTCGTTTTGGACAATGACTGGACATAATAAGCTAATCATATATAACATATCGCTCTTGTAAGAAATGCCTATATGACAGCTTTGATCTCTGTATTTTTTTTCTTCATTTTTTTTCATGATTGACAATATTGGTCCATGTAGTGTTTTTACAGAAATTGTCATTATTCAAAATCAAATTACATAACTGTCCTTAAATATAACACAATTATAAAACTGGTCATTGTCTAATTATATAATGGTCCTTAAGTTTCGCCACAAAAAAAGTTATATAATGGTCCTTAAGTTTCGCCACAAAAAAAGTTATATAATGGTCCTTAAGTATGACAAAAATATAGAAATGGTCTCTGTATAAAATAAAAATTTAAAAATAGTC